GCAGTCTCACCTTCCCAACATCTCCTAACCATTACTTCTGCATGAGGATTTGGCAAAAATCCCACAGCATCTGTATTGCAGACCTGACCTCACATAGATTAATTTAAGAATATTTCAAACCCCACCACGATTAATTCAGAAGACCACCTACATTGCTGTACTCCCCACCACTGCTCATCTTGCCAGGGTCAGAGTACTCCCTATCTCAAAGCCTGTGTGCAGCCAGATTTGCACAGCACAAAAGGCACACTCACAGCTAAAATGACTGGCACTGATCAGTGAAAATAGAAAAAAAAAAGTTTCAGTATTGTGGAAAAGGTCCTATCACACTTCGACTGCTGTCATTTGCACACTACTTATAATCTGCCAGCACATGCCACACTGCTTAAGACGAGATAGGATGCAAAGAACAAAACGAAGTTTTGTCCATTTATTAGCTCAGTTTTTAGAAAAGAGCTAAAATATTCAAAGACATTAGCCCAAAGTCTAGACATAAGTACTTTATTGCTTCTTTGCTGAAATAAAATCAGCTCTCCCTAGAGTGTCCAACTTTCCTGTTGAACTGAAAAGTCACATCTTCCAACACTGCAAGTTTTAGAGTTTGAAATACCTAAAATCTTAACTTAATGTCTGATGTGAGTGGCTGCCTTGTCTCTGTCAGATTGGGCTCCTGCAAGTTGATCTTCCAGAGCTTACCATGCTGTAAAGCCCTGGCCAATTACCCTGCTGGAGATTTTCATTCCATTACTCTGCAGATTTGTCTGACTCATGCTTCTGCCTTTTCCTCGGAACAGGCATTAATAACAACTTTCTTCTCTGACCTAGCCAGTTACTCTCCTGGAATTCACACCAATATACTTTTGGAGATTCCCACTCTTCTCTTAAACTGAAACTAGTTAACTGTTCCAAGCAACACTGCCAGGGCAGAGGGATGAAGTGGGTGATTTGTGGACAGAGGCAGACAACAGTGTTGTCCACCATGTCTAGAATGCCCCTCTTTATATAGAAAAAAAACCCCACAAGCATAAAGTAAGGTAGAACATACATGTTCCTCTTTTGTAGGAATTAAAAGCACACTTCAAATGTCATTTTACAGAATAATGATTTCCAAAACTGTAAACTTGCTTGATTTGAGCTTGCTTCTTCTAATAACAAGTTCATACTAGAAGAAAAGGGTAAATTAAATCCCCAGAAAGATAATTCCTGCATTAAGAAGTTTTCCTATTTGATACAACCCAACAGCAGATAAAAAAATTCCAAAGTTATTAATTTGAAGGGTCAGATGCTAATCATAGATGAACCACACACTTTGCTGTTATCACAGAAGTCACTCAAGTGGTAACACACTGGAATTCCAAGTGAACTTGGAATTTCACCTTGAAATACCTGTCCTCACCTTGCCCTGTGGAGTCACATGATCCCCTCTCCCCATTGAAGTGACAAATTTTTGAGCTTTTCAAATCTCCAGATTTGAAAATGGAAAATTTTAATCCTGAAGTACTCTAAAAACTTGCACAAGGACAAAAGCAGCTCAGTGACCTCAGCTGGTGAAGATCCAGAGCCAGGGTCATTCCCAGCAGCTGCCAAAAGAATAGGACATCTCCCTCCCATGCTGGCCCTCAGTCCTCCCCTACACTTCCTCTCTGGAAGTCAAGGTAGTTTGCTGTCTTGCAAAGTAGGGGAAAAAAAAAGAAAGACAATGTCATCCAAAATAGCTAATCGAGAACAAAAGGTCAGAAAGATAAGAGTGAACCCACAATGTACAGGCAACAACCCAAAACTTTCACTAATATCCTGCAAAGCTCATATTGTAACCATAACAATATCTAAATATTAGATGGGAATGGGCTGTTGTCAGCTCCCTTCTCTGGAATGTGAGCCAAACAACTTTATTCTCATCTCCATGGAAAAGGGATGTAAAATTATCTGTGCTGAATCCAAATTAGCTGTGCTGAATTCGGCACTCCTGAGTGAAACCTCATTGGTCAAACAGGAACAATCTTAAACTTGTCCCATAAAATCACATTTGCAGGAGCTTGGTGGGAGAGGCTCAGAGGGGGAACTTCTATGCAGGAAAGTTGCTTGTAATTAATATACACACTCATATTAAACTGACATTAAAAAATCTGTACAGTTAACTCTGGGCCTGCAAGACACACCTGGTTACTACTGAAAATAGGCACTAGGAGCTTAAAAATGCTGCTCCTTCTCAGAGTTACTTGTACCACCTTAGAATATTAAAAGTAAAATTCCAGAACATCTGGTTTTCCTTTCCACTCCCTATGATATCATGTTTTCCAAGCACATTTGGCAGCTCACTCTAAAGATACAGGCAGACTAAACATACAGGGCAAAGCAGAGTCAAGATGAAAAATTCCAAAGTCCTGGATGCAGTAAGTGTGTTTTCTATCTCCAGATTTCAGTTACACAAGTGGTATAATAAGGGCTTTTCCCCCATTGAAAACTCATGTATCCTTCAACCTTCTCCTTCCTTGATGAGATGATACAACATGTATCTGCCCTCTAGAGTTTTGGATGTGCTTTTGTAAGCAGTTTTTAATATATCATGGGATAGTTAGAGTCTCTATACAGCGAGATTCAGTTGTAGGAAGAAATAATTATGCTTAGCAGTGTCAGATTGTGCATGTACTTTATCTCACTCTGGGAGATGAGATTAACTTTCTATATTCCTCCTGCCTAAAAGGAAAAAAAAAAAAACAAACCAACAAACACTGCTACTACTCCTGCCTTTTTATTGCTTGGCTTTGTCTCTCCCAGCCTGGAACTGGAAAAATGGACCAAACCAGTTCCTGGGGACTGTTTCTCCTGTAAACTTCCACAGCCTGTAAACAATACAGAAAAGTGGCTGTTTTAAAAAACTAGAAGTTCCCATTTGACCAATTTCTCACATGTATTCTATCATATCTTGAAGCAACATTTTTATCTCTTCCTCTTTACCTATTTTATTATTTTTAACAGATCACATTCAAAACACAAATCAGTCAGCACACACACGTTTAAGATTTGCACAAACTCACATTTTATTGATGCACAAGAAGGTATCTGACTCATTTATACTCACCAGTGAAGGAACAGCAAACCTAGAAATGCATCAACACTTTCTTGCTCTAAATTTTAATTTCTCTGTTTTGTAAAAAAACAGTGTGGAAATGCAAAGACATGCATTAAGAATCCTAATATGACAGTCTTTAGCTTAATGCTTCACATTTAAAAGCAATTTAAATCATGAAGTATAAAATGGAAAAAAAGTACATATTATCAAAAAAATTACTGACAAAATAATAGTCCCAGTGGTTACGCCCTGATTGAAACTTAATGACTAATCAATAAAACTGCAATTATAACTTTCTCCTTGATGCAATCTGGACTAGTTTATATATTTCTGTTGCTCAACTAACACTTCACATAAAACATATATGAGAAGGTCTTGCTTTGTGGTATTTTATTACAGATTTGTTGTAGCAAATCTCTAAATATCAATCTCTAAATATCAAGTATCAGTTATTTTAGAGCTTAGTCCTCTCCTCACACCCATCACTCCAAGAGGAGAAGTAAAGCTATCAAAAACAGGAAAACGGGGTGGAAAATGGCTGTTACAGCATTGTAATTCTCACACCATAAAGCCACTCTGCCATTTCAGTGCCTACCATTACACATTTCTCTGGCCTCAGAGCAGCCAGAGCACGTGAGACAGCCCTGAGCAGCTCATTTACCTGTGCTCCACCACCTCTACCAGCCCCAACACAAATCCAGCAAGTGCCTGAGCTGTAAAGGTCACAGACCAGCACAGGGAACAAATGGCAACAGGTTCTGTTGGAAAGAGTCATCTGTAGCCAACTGGGCTTTGGCTACTGCAGATTCAATTACTGGGTTGCAATTTTCTCACAGGATTCTCACAGGCACAGGGAGTGTACCATGAATAAACTACTCCACAAAGAAGAGACTTTTTCTTCTGGTGGATTTTATTGCAAAGTGTTGGCACCTCTTGATGAGCCTCATTGCCATTTTGCTTGATTCTGCAACAGCACTTGAGAAGCTCAAAACACCTCCTGGATCTGCTGTTCCAAGACACATCAGGCAAACAAGGAGTTTTAGGGCTGTGCATTGGTGGTAAACAACCTCATGCTGATTTTTAATAGCCTTTAGAGAATCTTCATGGAAATAAGTTCTGTGCATGGCCTTAAGTTAGAAGTTACAACCTGATGGCACAGGCTCTAACCAAGCTCAGAAAGAATCCACCTGAGGCAGCAACACAAAGAAATCCCACCCAGCCCTACCTCTATCACCTCCTATCTACCCCTACCAGAGTGGTTATAGGTGCTGCACTCATCTGTCTTCATGTAGTTGGTATGTTAAATTAAGTTTCCTGGCTAAATCTCATTCAATCTAATCAGTAACATTTTCCACAGAAGAATATTACTTGGATGTCAAAGCTGATTCCACAGAGAGCAGGGAGAGCTGAGCTGCTTCCCATGGGGAATAGCCAGGCTGTGCTGCTGTAGTAGTGAGGCACCTGGTGTTCAGCTGAATAAATGGCATCTCCACTCTCCTGGTGGCTTAGCTAAGCTAAGCCCCCACAGGAAAGAAAATTAAAAAGTCAGTTAATAAAAGCAGACAGTTGAACCACAAACACAACAGATTTTTCTGCACCATGCCATCAGCTAAGCTTAAGTTACAAAAGAGCCAGAAAAGACTGTTTGTTTTCCATACAGCCCATTTCCTTACCTCAAACCTGTAGAGACAATCTGCAGCCCATTTTATCAGTGCTGTGCCAAAACCAGGAGAGCAGAGGTGGCCAGGGCTGGCAGGAAGAGCATGGGGTGTTTAGAGCTCAACACCCAGCCCCAGACACTGTGCCAACAGTGACAAACCAGGCTGCTGTAAGAACTGTCACAAGATATGACACCAAACCCGAGTTTCCACAACTGAATGGCTTCCTCCCCTCCCCTGGACACACAATAGATGAATTTCCTTCTTACCACTTCCCCAAGGGAGGCAGCCACCATGTGTGTTGCAGGGGCCAAGTAAGAGGAAGATCCATGGGGCAGCATGGATTTCACATTCTCATAGGTGATAAAAAAAGCAGCAGCTGAAATTCAAGAATACATGCAATCATTGCACTGTTCCACCACCACTGGGCTGTAATATTTTTACATCAAAATAGTACAACAGTATCAACAGAATCTGTGAGAAAATCCCTTCAGAAGTTTACGTTTCTGGCTACCCTGGCAAACCTCCCATTAATATTGAAGGTCTCAGGACTCCAGGCCACATTTAGTAGTGACCTACAGAAAGATTTAATTAGCTGTGGATGTCCAGCACACTTTGAAAAACTGGTATCTTCCATATCCATAGATAGAAGGGCTGTCTCTTGGTTGAATTGAATGAATGGTCCTTTTCTTGAGGAGGGGAGGAAGGGAAAAATAAACAAATCAGTTGATTATTGAAAAGAAAAACAACCCCAAAAAGCCTAAATTGATAATACATAAATTGATTCTGTTATCCTTCAATGTGCAAAACTGTTTCAGTAGCAGTTAATTAGTAACTTCTTCCTAACTATTGTCAGTTAAATATTTTGAATTTAGCTCCATAACATTTTTTTTCAAGCTTCTAAAGGATTTGTAAAAGTTCTGTGCAGTGAACAAGAAATGCACAAAACTAAACTGAGCACAGCAACTTGAGCTGTGTTTATTCACTGCAACCGTCAACTACAAAGGCACTTACACCTTAAGGGTTATTCCTTTTCCTAAAGATAATTTCAGTTCTCAGTCATACGTTGGAAAGATAAAACTACAGTGCAGATTTTGGAGATGTAAATACTGAAAAAAATGACATGTCTTGCGGGGGAACAGATTTTAATTGTAGAGAAGGGCCATGTGAATTGCCTTCTGCTAATCAAAAGATGCTTATCACCTCAAAAGGAGATAACAGAGCAGCCAAGATAAAGAACTGAATTTTTTTATATCACCTTATGAAGGACATCAAACATCTGAAGGTGTCAGTGGATTTGTCAGCAAAGTTCTCCTAACATTTACATCCGACAGCACAGATTGCTCTTTTTTCATCCCTACCTACAAAGACAAAATGGACAAAGGCATCAGGAATTTCAGATGCCTTTTCTCTGCAGGGACTAAAAGTATCTACTTTTGTAAAGCCTTAGTTTCAAAAGTATTCTGATATCTTTACAATTTAAGCAGTTGCTGTTTCAGGGAGATGAGCAGAGCATCTCCAGGCCAATTAACTCAAACACCTGCAGTGCTCAAGCACTTTGAAGTTCCATTCATTTCCAGTGCCAAGAAAGAGTGGGTCATGACACTAGGGTCCAGGAGAAGCAAGACTCAAGCCCTCCTCAGCACCCAGAAATGCTTCAGTGTGCTCCTGTAAGTAAGGACAGGCTTATATCCAGGAATGCTTCCAAGGAATTAGAGTTGCTTTTCAGAGCAAACCTGCAGCAGCCTTCACTCCAGTCTTGCTCAAGCTTGCTCAATGCTGAAATTCTAGAAAGTGCTCTTCACAGCTGGACATGGACTTACAGAATCCAACATCCATTGGAGAGGAAGCCACAGAGACAAATGTCCTATGTGACATAAATTACTAACTAAAGAAGACAAAGTATCATCCAAAGAAAATTTACCATTTGGAAAGGATCCTATTGCAGTGGAAGGAACGCCAGCATAGATGCCACGAAAACCACCAGCTTTCCTAAATCCTTGAGGACTCTGAAGTCTTGTTTTTACAGTATCCAGGGGAAAAAGGATCAAGTCAACACACACACCAGCAACTCCACCAGCCTACAAGACAAAACCATGGAGAAAAGTGCATTAATATTCCCACATAAGTGGTGCTTGGGTGAGTAACTGAGGCATGTGCAAGCCAAAGCACTGCTGACTGTATCCTCCCTGAGGTCAGTTTATAAAATGATTGCCTTACAACTCAACAGCTTCCACAGCTGTAACAAGGAGGGTTCAACAAAAGAAAGTAATAGATATTACAACTTCTAAACCATTTTTAAGGCATTCTCAAAACAATATCAGTGTTTTAAATAGTCCAAACAAAGCAATACAACACTTCCCCATTCCACAGAAAAGCCAGACAGTGGATGTCACTTATGAAGAGACAGCAGAAAATGACCAACACCTCCAGCAGCTGTCTGATTAAATCAGGAAAAGACTGGAGCAATTCTGCTCCCCACCTTAGGCATCTCTAGAAAGCACATTCTCATTTTTCCAGCAAACATCTTCATTCAAAGTGCTCACATTCCCTCATTGCCTTTGTCAAACAAAGCCTAAAGTAAACTTTTCTTTTTTTATTTTTATAAAAGCCTATAGAAAGAAAAAAAAATGGTCAAATAATTGAAAGGTATAGATTGGAAGAGACCTTAAAGATCTAGTTCCAGCCCCCTGTCATGGCAGGGACACCTTCCAGTATCCCAGGTTGCTCCAAGCCCTGTCCAACCTGGCCTTGAACACTTCCAGAGATGGGGCAGCCACAGCTTCTCTTGGTAACCTGTGCCAGGGCCTCACCACCCCCTGAGTAAATAGTTTTTCTCTAATATCTAATCTAAACCTACTCTCTGTTAGTCTGAAGACATTCCCCGTTGTCCTGTCACCAGGTGCTCTCTCCAACTTTCTTGTAGGCTCCCTTAAGGTACTGGAAATCATATTAAATAAAGGAGTTTTCAAAGTCATAAAGAAAAGGGGAAGGATTTTATCCAAAGAAATCATAAAACAAAACCCTAAAAAATTGATTCAACTAGGGCTCAATCTTTTTCCATTGTCTGTACTTCTAGATGACTGGGCTTTTTGGTTTTTTTTTAATTACCCCATAACATGGCTGATTGCAGAAAATAATTATTTTGCAAAAACATGAGGAAAAGGTTGAAATAAACAGAAAAACTGATTAAAAATCCACCATCAATAGCTAAATTAATCCATTATGAGACATTATTCAGAAAACACAGTTTGAAGCCTACCTTATATAGATCAGCACCCAAAAAACAACTGCACATATTTTTAACTCTGCCTGAAAACAAATCACATGTGTGTTACTCTGATATTTTTTTTCAGGGTAACAGAGGATTCAGAGAGGTGTTCACTATCTACCACTAAAGGTTTAATCAATAAGTTAATTACTCTTTTAATCTAGTTGGCTATTTTGAATGCATTGATTCTTCTTCACTCTTTTTCATCAAAATCCTTATCTGCTCAAAATAGCGTTGATCAGATTAAATCAGATTAAATCTGGCCATCTGTTAAATCATGAATCAAAAGTTACTAATTGCTTCTTTAAGTTCTCAAAGTTCTGTATCTTAAACGTCATTTAAATTCATGAGGTAGCTAACAGAGCACCTGCCAGTGGGTGACAATAGCTGTGTGTTTGCAGCAACTGCAGAAAAGAGAAATGGCTTTTGGTTCATAAGGCACCTAGGACACAATTCCTCCCCAGCTGCAGTAATCAGGGTTATCAAAAGAACCTTCACCAGGAGCTGGAGGAGGATCAGACCTCACAGGGCTCTGCAGCTTCCTCACAAGGGAAGTGGAGGAGCAGCTCCAAGCTCTGCTCTCTGATCAGGGACAGGACCCAGGAACAGCTGGAGCTGTGCCAGGGGAGGTTGGGGTGGGGATCAGGGCAAGGTTCTACCCCAGAGGGTGCTGGCACTGCCCAGGGAATGGGCACGGTCCCAAGGCTTCCAGAGCTCCAGGAGAGTTTGGACAATGCTCCTGGGCACAGGCTGGGATTGTTGGTATGTCCTGGGCAGGGCCAGGAGCAGGAATGGATGGATGATCC